TATCTTGTATGAAGATGATGAACCACGCCTTTTCTTGCCGGAAAAAAACTTCGCAAATTGGTCTCTCAGACTGCGATTTAAATCATTTTATTAGTAAGAAACAAATGTGTAAACGATTGTAATCATTGTATTGCAAACCTGCTGGTCATATCGAGAGCTATGTTTTTTAAGTTAGAAATTTCAACATATCGTAGGTCTGCCGTTGCAGAGTTGTATGCAAAACATTCAGTGTTGGGAAATCAACAAAGAAGATCTGCGATCCAGAAATCCTATTCCAGCCATTAGGAGTATTTTTAAGGGGTTTAGTATCATAAGCAAAAAGGTTTTAGAGATATGTAAAATACCAAACAAAAGCGATACCAAATCTTACGTGAAACAAATTCAGCAATACTGACACATCCGTTGATGAACTGAAATTTAAAACGTATTCAGTATGTTTATTTCAGTATATCATAATTGCATGAAAAAAAAGGTATTAATCCTTTTATATATGGTGTTTTGGCATTAATTTGGTTGGCTGGTTGATTATAGCAAAAATAGGGGATGTATCTGCCTTAGGCCTGTTGCCTTCGTGAATGATTAAGAAGCACTGGCTCGAATTTACATTACATGTAGAGAAAACCTTATGCAGCTAGCCCATTTGCTGGTAACAGTTTGGTTTGGTTTGTGTGATTACGGCAAAGCCTCCAGGGCCATCTGCCTAAGATGAGAAAAGCCTTCTTGGGGGACTTTCTAAGGAAACTGGCTCATATAAACATTATGCATGTGGAAAACCACGAAAAGGCTGATGCAACCAGCCCGTCCGCGGTTATTCGAATCTCTGACCGAACTACCAGTGTTCAGCGACTTTACCGTTCAGCCGCTCGTGGGCCCCTTGCTGGTAACAGAATTCGAAACGAACTACACATGTTCAGCGCCCTATTCATGCAGGCGCCTGTGTGTCTTTATAAATCTTTATTCGTAGTTCAGTATCACTTTTCACGATTTATAAAAGTAAAGGTTTCTAATTTCTTACGAGTTGCATAATATAATTTATGAGTTTAAAAATATGAAATTTTTACTGGAAAACTTTGCTTGGCATGCTCCGTGTTGCTGACATTTAACTTATAGAGCAAAATATATAATTAAAAATGTATTTTAGGCAAGTGTACAAACAATTTATTATCATGCATTATAAAAAGAAGAGGAGTTCATTGGACGTATTCATGAAATCATTGCTGTTGTACCAGAAAAATTATAAGCTGTGTGGGCTTTAACAGATGACAGAGTAGCTTTTGCTAGTTCTACTGCAGCATCTCTTTCAAGGAAGGAACAATTGAAAGCATTTTGATCAGTTGACAAAATGCAGTCCAATGTGACAGATGACGTAGTTGAATGGAAGGTATTTGACGACTCATGATGTTACTTTTTTTTTTTTTTTTTTTTTTTTTTATGCTTTGCGAAAAGTATACTCTGAGCCCATTGTTCTTAAATACGTCAGCATAGTATGGATTGAAGATGTCATTGAGTTGCATAATTTTCTTTTATAGTAATTTAGCCCGTATAAACCATGTGAACAAACTGAGGCTTCATACTTACATGTTATAACGTAGAGCAACGTCTCAACGTGTTTAAAGTTTTGGGACGCGCAGAGAAAATTCATAATTGTGGATAAATTTAGAAGCAATGATCTGACTAATTATGTACAAAAATGTTTATAATAAGATTTATTCAGTTGCACGGGCCATGTTTTGTTCTTTTTGTTTTTATCGATAAGTGTGGTTTGGGAATACGAATTTTGGTGAATGTATGTGTGTGTGCTATAATAGAATTTAGAAAAATGTGCTGATGAAGCAATCATGACCAGTTGATGCACTTCTTTTAATCGTGGCACAGCATTCTTTAAAAATGCACATAACTGAAATAACGTAATAATAGTCTTGAACTTGTAGTGTTTAGAACGCTATACCATCTTAAACGGTATAGGATGACAGCTAGACAGAAATCCAAGATACTACTCAAGGTAAAGAAAGGTACGAGGCTTGATTGTTTGTATGGGCCCTTCCCCTCTTCTCGCGGGTGCGGTATCTATTTACCTTCTGTGGCAAAGAATCCATAGGTTCGGCCATTCCCATCAAATTATTAGACATCAAAAAAGCAGATGTCTTAAGACTGAATTTAAAAAAGGCGGGTTTAAGACGTGTGTGCTCTGTATTTCGCCGTTATAAACGTACTTTCATATATTTACAGCATTACAACTCATGGTGAAGAGAAGCGGTGGTCAAGGTATAAGTTCTGCAGAGGCGAAGGTGAGAAAAGCAAAGATTATGCTGTTGACAAGACCTTAAAAGGTGAAGCGGCTATATTTTCTCAAATGGACATAGTATTCCTATACTGCTATTGGTTTTTAATTTAATTACAATTTAGATAAAATATTTTACTCTCATTTTTACCATTACCTAAATCCATGGGTCATTAGAGTTATGTAAGAATCATATGACAGGAATTAATTTGGAAAAGTTGCGTTTCTGAAATATTTATCATAAGCTCATTAAAAACTAAAGGTTATTTGAATAAGGCAAGGCACAAGAGAGCTATCTGGTGGAATGCCTTTGTGCAGGACTTTCTAAAGGAACCCGGCTTGTATTCACGTTACACCCAGGGGAAACCAACCATGCTGCCAACCCGTTCGTCCAAATCACGTCGAACTACCAGCAGTCAGCAGGCCTTAAACCCCTCGGCCAGTGGTAGGCCGCGCTGTACGTGAGAAGAACCACGAAAAACAAACATGCAGGCAATCCGTTCGCCTAGGTCGAATACCCAGTATTCAGCTGCCTTAGCCATAGTCGCTACTGGGGCCATTAAAAACTAAAGATCATTTCAAGTCAAGTTAGAAGTTACAAATTTAAATTTACAGAACATCTAATGCATTTTGGTTAAGTGAAAGGGTCTATTTAATGATATTGGCTTTTTTCAAAAAACAAGAAGTGTTGTTTTTGCAACTCTTTACATATTTACAAAGTATTTGTCATAAATTACTGGAAATAAATAATATAAAATTAATCTTTAAAGTAATAAATCTGTTTTTGTGGTGCTAAGTATCAAATCAATCAACGTAAATCTATTTTTAAATGCCCAAATCATATTACAGACCTCCGCATTTGCGGCGATACGTTCAAGGTTAACCACTGTTACCTAAAGAAAGCTGCTAAAATAAACGATATCTGTTAAATACGCATAAATAAAATAAGTTTTAATCGGTAAATTACAAGCAGTAAGACACATTTAAATCCAGCTTTATCTAACATAATTTATGATTGAAGAAACACATATACATAACTAAAATGCATAATTCTGAAATACCTCAGATAAAATGCTGTAGTTTAGATACTTCATTTACTGGCAAAGAAAATAGGATTAATTATGTATGTGCATGTTATAGAGAAAGATATTTTATTTGCTGGCAAAGGAAATAGGATTAATTATGTTTATATTTCCCTCTCTGTTTAGCGGAGCAGATTTAAATGCTTTTTAATATTATTTACATCCTTTTATTTTTATTATTCCTTGAGAAACTGAATTTATAATTTCTGTTGTTTTAAATTATTATTAGGTCCTTCCTTCGCAGTTAAGCTTTCGAGCTGATATTAGCTTAAGCTCTATTAAAAGTTAGGCCCACCATCGGCTGAGCGGTTAAGTCGCTTAGCACTGGTAGTTCGGTCCAGGCTTCGAATGTCGCGAATGGGCTGGCTGCATGGGCAAAGTTTGTTGTTTAAATTCATAATATAATTCATCATATATTAATTCAATAATATTTTGATTAACATTTGAATCCAAAATTAAAACTTTCTGTGCCCTAAATTTAAATTAAAAAAAAAAAAAAAAAAAAAGTAATCTAACTACAACTCTAAATCCTAAACGAAATGTGAGTTTCTTTAAAAGCACTTTTTTGTTACGTTTTTAAGAACTAATATTTGGTCCATTTGGGTGAGAGAATGAGTGAGTGAGGTTATTGGCGCAAAAACTGGTCCATTTGGAATATATATCTTAAGGCAGGGCTTAAATTCTAAAATTAAAATTGCCAGAATCTTAAGAAAGCTAGCTTTTCTGGAAAAGTGAACAAAAATAAATAATAAAAATCTAAAAATTAATTAAATTAATTAATGCCATATTGTTAAATAATAAGTTCAAACTGTTGACCTGTCTTATTTGGGGCTCCTACTGGAAATAAGATTTTCACTCAAAAACTGAGATGTACCGAATTCTGGCTCAGATGGCTCCAGCTGAATTTAGGCCCTTAGTAAAATTATGAATTTTTTTTTAATTTACTTGAATAATTTTATTACGGTTAATATTTGTCATTTGAGTCCAAAATTACACATTTCCTTGCCCTAAATTTCGAATGATATTCAACAATATCCTAAAGGGGACAGTCAGCAATGACATAGTTTAGCAGTCCGTTTTACTTTCCGATATCCAAAGAAATACGAAACTGGGCATTGCATCTATTGCCGTATCCATATTCCTCCTTGCGTAAATCTTGTGGAGTAAAACCAGTCGTCACTTTCATTTCTTTCTTTGTTTTTTCAATATGATTTTTCCCCTTAGAATTTCCTTCCCTCAGTCGTACGAGGCTGTTGCGTTGGGACGGGCCGATCGCGAAACAAAATACGGTAATAAAAACAACACGGAATATCTGGCTAGTCGTGAGATGAGACAAAAGTTAAGGGGAGGGAACAGAAAGAGGGGTCAGCAAGGCTGGCGGCAACGCGCCGGCCTGACCCTGTAAATGCACGTGCCTGCCAGAAATGACTTTCACTTATTTTCTGCATTTTTATTACTTTTTTTTAATCTATATGTATATTCAGCCAATAGGAGAAGGTTTGCCGCTAGGCACGCTATGCTCCTGACAAGCAGAAAGGCACCGAAGGATTCTTAACACGAGGCGGCTTGTTTCATATAATCAGTTTACTCTGAATTGGCAACAAAAGCATTTCTATATGGCGTGTTCCATCATAAAATATGACTCCGATCTTAAAAGAATAATTGCTTCCACCGTAATGCAGTGAAAGAAATGTGCGTGTATTGTTAAAAAAGTGTGCTAGTTTGGCTCTTTCTTGCGTAGCCAAGTTCATTTAAAGTTGTTAATCGTCGAAGATGAACGGTTTGGTTCGAGATATTTTATTATCCTTATTATTTTCGTTACTTTTTCGTAGTCAGGTATCCAACCCCAAAACCAGCGTAAGTTATAGTCATCTCTCCCTACATGCTTCAAAATTCGAACGCTTCGTATGATTATCGGCCTTCCCCCCCCCCGTCACTTTTTTTTTTTCGTTTTTATCCATCGTGGAAATGGCAAAAATGTTTAGCTGTTTCACGTGTTAGAGAAGTATTCATTAGAAGCAACTGTTTACTAACTGCAAAAATAGCGCCAAATGAATTAATACACTACGGACTACGTATAAACCAGGAATTCCCGCAAAAAGCCCAGAGTATTTTTTAAACCTCGGAATAAATCTCTGTATAGGAGGAAATCTTTTTATAGAGTTATGCTAAAAGACACTATTTGGTCATTATTCGTGTAGGTGTTTTGACGCAATGATGTGCGCACTATTGCTTCTGCAGAAGTTTTTGTCAAAAGCAGAGACTCATACCGCAACCATTCAATCAACAAGTGTCACATCTGTTTGTTACCATGAAAATCTGCGTTGACACTATGGACCAATGAAACGAAGGAATTACCAATATCGCTGTGTTTGTGCAATGAACTGCATCGCTGCGTATTTACTGGAAGTATCGCTATCAATATTTCATTCTGGAAACAATGCCTGTTGGGGAACAACGGGGAAGCTCCGGAAGGTGGAGTGGCAAACAGTTTATTTTGCCAAAGAAGAGCGTAAAGCAGGAAGTACGCGATTTACAACAGCGAGGGTAAGTTGAAAACTTTTCGGTACTTGAACGTAATTATCGGGAGATGCATAAGTTATGATAATTAGTAATTGTGAAAATTCTGCAGCTAAATTGATACTTTGCTTCCTTTAAAATAATTAAAATCTAAAAGTTTCTGTTTGGTAAAAATTGTTACATATTCGTGTTTTTGAATTCGGAGAAGTGTTTGTAGTTTAAGGGGACAGTGGACGTTCAAATACTTTTTTTTTTAATTATTGTCATAGAATTATATGAAATTTTGCATGCATGTATATTTTACTATAATTATATGAAATATCTTTGAAAAAATTTTCTGGATCATTGCAATTTAATTTTTTTTCAAATTTCTTTTGAATTTTTTTAATTTTTTCAAAATGCTCCATGCGACTTAATTTTTTTCTGTTTCTTGTTATTTTTGCTTTATTTTTATTAAAAATGCATTGCAAACACAACTTGGTATCAATTAGTGAATTGCGTAAATTGTTAGTTTTTAATTAATATTTCTTTCACATATACCTGAATTTTGGACAAAATTTCCCACTTTAATACACTTTAATTGGACTTTTATCCCCTTAATGAAGTCGCATTCAAAAATGCATACTAATTTTTGTTACATGTATAAATGGGAATCTAAATTAGAAATTACAGTCATTTTGAACATAAAATAAAGCGCATGGAGCATTTTGAAGATGTAATAATCGCGAAAATTTCATTGTGAGAAAAATACATTTTAAGAATATTTTTACGCTTACCTATAATATTTACCTCTTAACATGTCCTAATATATAATTTTATTTAATATAAAATATTTTAACATTATTTTACGTATGCATAAAGAATGTTTTTACTAATAGAATTGTAGAATGGCAAGAAATACTTAATATTATTTTAGATATTTTCTCGAACACTTTCACTAAATTCATCCAAATACTTTTTTTAAAACTAAGAATCACTTTAAAAACGTCCTGCACCATGTTTCACCTTCCTCATTTACGTTTTCATTATGTTTACCTACCTTACATAGTTTTTTTTTGGTAATTCATCTTTTCTTGTATCCAGTCGAACTTTTCCTTTGATGTATACGACATTTATCTTGCCTCTGTCCAATAGATATTGAACATGAATTTATATCTTTATGTTCCATACCTAAAGTATTTAAACACTCAAAATTGAAATCACTAATTGCTGTGATAACAGCGAGTCTGTTTTCAATACAAATGTTTCCTTCGGGCAGTTCTTCCAAATGTCGCTATGTAAACTCTCGTTAGTGTTTTGTATTTTTTCAGATATGGATCATGCTAAAAGCTGATTACTGGCTAGTCATTGATACACCGGCAATATTTTGGATAAAACATTTACTGTTGATTTGTTTTTCATCATTGAATGAGATTTAGGTTTCATATTTTTAGCAATGCTACACTTTCAAAAAAAAATTATATGACATCTGTTGGGTATTTAGAATGTTTGGGTAACTCATCCGTGAAAAGAAATTGCATAAATTGCAGTCTTCATAACCTTACACATTTATATCTTACTAACAGTAAAAATATTGTCGCGTAAATTAAAATAATGTTTCTGAAATGTTTGTTTACCCTTTTAATGTCACAAAAAAGGTAAACAAGCGTATTCAAACGCTTATAAGTTAAAGAAGGTTTGGTACTTTTCCGTTTTGCCGGCGCAAGCGATAAAGTCGCCAATAATGGTACAACCGATGCAAAACGGAATATTCTCGCTGGTAACCTTTTACGCCTCATTTTCAAAACAAGTCGCAGCTTTTTCTTACCAGATTGATTGTTTTTTTTCAATACTGGCATATAATTACTCATTACATGCCAGTATTGAAATTATTGAATTTTTATCAGATAGTTCAGTTTTATGTCTAAGGCCATTTTCGGTAATTAAGTCAATTAGGATGCAATCACAGCGCTTACCCGAAGCCGAAAATATAGAAAAGGTAAAGTCAAGGGTTAAATTCATCAGTTCTAATGAGAATGCATTAGCGAAGTAAAGCACTGCAGTTTTACATAATTTCTGAGTAAGCTATTCGTACGAATTGAAATATTTCTTGCATTTAAACTTGTGTTCCAAATTAAGATTTAACTTGAAATTAATGTAGATAATTACTGAGAGCATTAGATTTTTGTAGAGTAGTTTACGTGAGATGAAATCGCTTGGGGTCACGTGATATGAACCGGCGAATCAGGATGTTGAACCATAAAAGTATAGTAAAATTCTTAAATTAATACCTTTTTACAAATTTATTGTCTTTTATTTATTGGCTTTTTATAAAATTTAAGCGATATTAAAATGTTTGTCTTCAAAAAAAAGAATTCTTAGAACTAACATTTTTTAAAAATTTTTATGTGTATACTGTATGTTGTCGCCAATAAAGTCTGCTTGGCGAGATTTGCGCCGGCGAAACGGAAAAGTACCGAAGGTTTTAAAGAAGGTTAAAGAAAGTTTTAAAGAAGGTTTTTGTAGACGATAGAGTTAAAACTGAAGAATATTATCATATGAAATTTTTATTTTCCAATTTTTGGTCGATTTTTGCTGCATCGTCCACTGTCCCCTTAATTCACTCTTTTATAGCTATTAAAAGTGAAACAAGTAGCGTATGATTTAAAAGCGAATAAGTGTTTCCGTGAAATAATTATACGTTACTTCCTTTGAATTTGCCTATTTCTGGAGAACAAAAATATTTTTAAATAAAACATATATGTCAAGATTCTTCAAAATGGGGGGGGGAGGGAATTACCAGCATTAATGACATTCGTACTTGTTTAATTCGCGTTTAGAATGATAAACTATGGAAACTCTTTGTTTCTGCATTGCTTATTATCAAACATCAAGTCCAGTATGTTATCCATGAATGTATCAACTCCAATCGAGTGTTTATGGTAAGGGAGGTAGTTGGAAATTTCATAGTATATCAAGCATAATGTAAGGAATATAGCAAGAAGATGGTATTCTTGTTTTTTTATTATTATTATTATTTTTAATGTGCTCTGAGAAATTTACACTAGCTATGTTGGGGAAAAGGGTGTAGATAATCACCGCAAGTAAGCAATAAGTTCACCAAGCTATCTAAAAAATTAATTTGAAAAAAGTTATAATGTCCAAAAAACTACTCTTAAATTTGAGTTAACTGATTATTAAATGCCTTTTTCATATTTTATGGAACAGCAGCGAACTTTTTCCTGATACATACATGGATAGATAGCCTTCTTGTGTTTTCTCAAAATCGATAAAACTAATTAACAATTTAAAATGATGGTCCAATTTGTGAGCACTTTTAGATATATTTTCATGCTTTTCAAAAATTAACATGCTTATAGAAAATGCTATTTCTTAACAAATCCAAATGTTTGCACATCATCTAAAAGAAAATCTTCAGTGCAGAATTCAGTGTTAAAAAGCATCAGTCCGGTAACTGTAATACGAGAAAAAAAAAAAAAAAAAAAAAAGCATACCGAACGAAACTTATTTAACCAAACAAAGTGTGACTATGCTAACAAACCGACTTAAAATGCATTAAAAAGAATCTGTATTGGTGCATAAGAAGCTCATTAAATTCTTGCTGGTGATTATATTCTATTCTGGGGGAATATCAACTGTAATGTATCATCCTTCTAGTTGGTTGAGGTCAGATTTGCTGTTTGTTCTTGGGAAGGAAAAAACTGTCATAAAATTAGTGCTTTTATGGTTGGTGTAACTAAAGCACAATGGTGAGAAAAATTTTAGTAATTAATCAAATCCAAAGTAAAGATAATAAAAGCAATGACGCGAAAAGGTGGTTAGCTGTATCCTACTAAAACCAGCGTTATTGTTGCATATCATCAAAGGTAATAAAAGCAATGACACATAGAGCTAGTTAATTGGACCCTACGAATACCAGCGTTATTGTTGCAGATCATCAATCTGATTTTTCCCACGCGCAAAGTCGATGGAACTTCGACTAAATCAATGGTACTAAAGTTTAGTTTATGTTATTAGAAACCAGGAAATGGTAAAAATTCCATGAAATCTGTTGATGACGAAGGAATCTCATCCGTCAAACTGCGGTCTGAGGTGAATATAACAGTCTTCCGTTGAGGTCAAATAATTTGAAAAAACACGGCAGAAATGAAGCTTGACTACACTGATCTCATCTATCCATTGTTTATGTCCTTTGTTTTTGTGCTTGTCATAGTCATTTCTGATTGCACTGTAAACTAAGATAGGCACACACTCCCCTTCTCAGAACTTTAGGAAAAAATTTATTCTTTTAATATAATACCTGTAGAATTAGCTTTGCCGTTCTCAAATTTTCAGAAACGTCATCGTCTCCCAGTCAACATCGGACGTTCTGGGATGAACTTTTTTCTGTCCTTGGTATAAAGACCTTTAATTCTTCTGTCATTAGCAGAATTTTTCAGATTTCTGCCATTTTCTTTCTTGTCGACTTTTTTCTTCCCTCTTAACGTAAGCAAAATTTTTACACCCCAGTGATCCTTCTTATAGGCCTTGCACTTCTTGCGTAAGAACACAAAACTGATATATTACAGCAACAAACCTGCTGCTATTGTAATGGCAGTGAGGCTTAAAATTCGAAGGTGACTTCTTAATTCGATAACATCTGCATGGGGTTGATCGAACGCAACAGTTTTTTTTATTTATTTATTTATTTATTTATTTTTTTATTTTACTGTAGTTACTTCAGTTCTCTTTCTGATGCTAAATTCCGCACTAATTTTTTTTGTCAAATTAATATCCAAATTTTGGTATTTAATGAAAATGCTATTCTATACACAAGCAGAAGTTTTCTCATATAAATTCCAAGAACGAGTAGGATTAAATGTGGAATTTTGTATTGTAAATATCCTGAACTGAGCTTAAACTAATGATGTTAATTCCTTCTTAAATTGAATTTTCTTTATCTCCGCTTGGAAAGCCATAAAAGAGACCTACCTGTGGCTGAACGATTTAAGAACTGTTGCTTATTCGTAGTTTGTACCCAGACGAAT